TCTCTTTGATTAGTTTCCAACCATTGTTTCTTGTCCTGCCCTCTGGTTCTTTGGAGAATAATTTGGCCCCCTCTTCTTTGTGGCAGCTCCTCAGAATACTGCTATTGTGTCACCCTTAATTCTTCTTCTTCTTCTTCTTTTTTAAGACTAGACAAACCCAAATCCTACAGCCGTTCTTCATATGTTTTAGTCTCCAGGCCTTATTTTTATTTAAGAGCATTTTGGAAGAAGTGTATCGAGTATGCTGCACCTAAGAACACACTCTGGTTACCTTCCCAAGTTACTTTGCCTTGAACAGCAGGGCAACAGGTGGCAGAAGCATATTTGAAAGAAACTACACTCATCCAATGCATTGTCTCTCTTGTGAAAGGCGCAGGAAATAGATCATAAACTATAAAGCCACAGCCCTTTCTAGAGCAAAAGTATCATACCAGACTGTACCAAAGCCCGTGTGTACTTTCCTTTTAGAAATAACCCTGAGGGATATCATCATCCTGACGGAGAGAGAAAGGTGATTTCTCATGGACTTTTCCAAGGTTTCCTCCGGAGGTTGCGCTAAGGAATCTGACTCAGTCTTTCTCTCTCTGCTCCTGCCCAGATTTTTCATGTGGGAACTTTGTTTCCCAAGAATTTATTTCCTGTCTTGCAAGACGACACCAAGCCAGAACGCAACAACTTGCCATGACCATTTCGCCACGGCCAACTCGCCGTGGGACAATTCAACAATTCAATTCAATTATTTCAAATAGTTTAAAATTTATTTTAATTTTTGTCATTGTATTTCATTTTTCCCTGCTTTCTTTAATGATTCTATTCCACCATTTCCATGTAACTCTTGCCCCGTGGTGAGGTAGCTGCGACAAGTTATCCTAGACCAAAGGTCCCCAAACTTGGTAACGTTAAGACTTGTGGACTACAACTCCCAGAATTCCTCAGCCAGCATAGCAACATTTGAAACATGGCCAAATCTTCTTCTTCATTGTTCACTTCATCACTAACCCTCTCATGCCCCCGCTGGCTGAAGGTTGCATCGTGATTAAGTAAAATTAAAACCAAACAAGCAGATGAAAGACCCAAGCAAAAAGGTGCATTAGCAAAGAACAAGGGCACTTCTGAAGCCTTTGTCTTCAATAGCCAATCCCTCAAAAGCAGTTTAACAAAATAGTAGAGTTGGAAGGGGCCTTGGAGGTCTTCTAGTCCAACCCCCTGCTCAGACAGGAAACCCCATACCATTTCAGACAAATGGTTGCCCAGTCTCTTCTTAAAAACTTCCAGTATTAGAGCATCCATGACTTCTGAAAGTACCACAAGTCATTCTACTGATTCATTGTTTTGACTGTCAGGAAATGTCTCCTTAGTTCTAGGTTAGTTCTCTCCTTGATTAGTTTCCATCCATTGCTTCATGTCCTGCCTTCAGATGCTTTGGAGAATAGCTTGACTCCCTCTTCTTTGTGGCAGCCCCTGAGATATTGGAATACTGCTCTATCATGTCACCTTCCTTTCATCAATCTAGACATACCCAATTCCAGCAACCGTTCTTTATATGTTTTAGCCTCCAGTCCCCTAATCATCTTTGTTGTTCTTCTCTCCACTCTTTCTAGAGTCTCAACATCTCTTTTACATTGTGGAGACCAAAGCTGGATGCAGTATTCCAGGTGTGGCCTTACCAAGGCATTATAGAGTGGTATTAACTCTTCATGTGATCATTGAGTCACTATCTTGTCCCCGTCCTGCACAGTGTCAAAATCTCCCCTCAGCTCCACTCCACGCAAAAGTGAAAATATATTATTTACACGCACACACCCATTCACATCCTCTTTTTGTTATGTATATTTATTTTATTTATCAAGAAGAATAAAATGCAAAACAAAAAAACATACATCTAATGCTAATAACAAAAAAAGGAAAACATTGTGGACAAAAAGTTGGGGGAATGAACCAAATTTCAAATAAATCTAACATCAAACATAAAGAAACCACCCGGCTAGAGGCTGAAAAGAAAAATGTAAAAAAACTGATATATTCTCCTCCCTTTACATAATGAGTCTACAGGTAATTAGCATTCCCATCTTTATTTAACAAAAATACCATAATAAACAAATATTCCAGATATGGGGATCTCTATTTGATGACCAAATCAATCACATCCATCCACATCCTTATTTCATATTGCGTGTGTCTGATTGGTTTGTGCATGTGCAATACAAGAACATTCCAGAGAATTCCGGAACATCCATTCCTTCTCAGAGGGGATCTTTCCAGTTACTGTGAGGGTGGTTCAGTCCTTTCCCAAAAATTATGTTCTCTACCTAGAAATGGTTTGTGGTGCCCAAGGTAGGGGATAAGTTTTGCATTAAGTAGCCTGATTGCATATGCAATACACACCTCACAGTGAAATGGGTGGCAAACAAATTGAATAAATAAATTAGAAACATATCTAAGCAATTCTTATGAAGGGGAGCTGCAAAGTCATTGAGCCACCTTACCTCTGCAAGCTCTGCAAAATTGGCTGAAGCTCAGAATTTGAGAAGTGAACTGAGGCAAAATTCTTACAAATGGGGAATAAACCTCCCATGCTTCATAGAGTCAGGGTGTTTCAAATAAAAAAATGAAAATATTTTTCCCCCTGTTGTTTCAACTATTCCATTGCTGAACCAGAAATAAGTCTGAGAGGGGGGTCTTTCTTGCTCTCTGAGATTGGTTGTCCCAAAGGTACTTTTACAAGAGGCAACAGGACTTTCTGGTTTTTCTTTGAAGACGTTTGACTTCTCACCCAAGAAGCTTCTTCAGAGGAGAAGAGCTGAAGAAGCTTCTTGGATGAGAAGAGAAACGTCTTGAAAGAAAAACCAGAAAACCCTGTTGCCTCTTGAAAAAGCACCTTTGGGACAGCCATAACCCGGATGATTGAGAATCTCCATAGACCACCCTGAGGTTGGTTGTTTTCTTGAAGACATTACCCAACTAGGTAACATCATCAGTGCTAGCGCTGAATATCATCAGACCTAGCACCACTGAGGTCAGGTTAATGAAACGTCTGCGAGAAAACCACCAAGCTCAGAGATCTCACAGTTCAACCCTGAGCCACAAATATCCTCTTCTATTGGTTACAAATATGCCTGTTCAGTTCTTGAACACTGCTAATATTATGGGACTACAGAAGTCTGGAGCTGTTTTTGAACTGGAGCAAAATCCTTGCAGAGATTTGTATTCTAGGTTCAATAAGTACCTAAAAACTAGTGGTGAACAACTTAGGGAGGCTGATAAGGCTAAATTATTCCATAATCTCAGTACCTCTGTTGAAAAGATTGAGACCTGAGTAACCGGAGACAGGTAGATTAACATTTCTTAATCAAACACTGGCTGGGGATAATGGAAAACAGAGACCAACACATCTGGAGGCCTCTAACCTGAGAGAAGCTGAACTGGATGATCAAAATGGGTTTAAATAAACCCCCTCCTCTTGCATTTTCCAGATTGTCAAAGTCTGAGTCATGCCATCCATGCCAGAAATCCCCTTCCCACTATCCCCGAT